GGTTCGATTTGGGGAATTTGTGGGGAACGCGTGCTGGGGAGGGGACGGCAGAGGAGAGGAGAGGAAAGGAGGAGGTGGATTCGGTCGCGGATTTGTTATTCTTCGGGTGGCCGCCGGGCCGGTGGGGTGGGGTTGGTTTGGGTTGGACCGGATAAGGAGACCGGGTCCGGGTCCGATTAATCTTTTCTGGCCGAAGTTTAACGTCGTTACTATTGTTAGCGAGCAACCATATGCGACCCAGAGTAATAGCCAAGTTTATTCTGTCAAAAGAAGTTTCACAATGCTGTCAAAAGAAGAACCTGAATTCTGAACCGTGCAGCTGCGCTCGTTCGCTGTCTCGAAATTGTTTTTCTAATTATAGGAGGCAAATAGCACTAACCTATATGGAACTATATATAAGTGTTGATTACAAAACTAGAAGAAACTGGTAGCTCTGTTGGGGACAGGAGCAATGGTGGAGGTTGATTTCTGGAGCCCAGATGATAAAGCCAAAGGAAAGTTGCACTCAGTGTGGATAAAAATGTGGGGTGTGCCTGATACATTGAGACATTATCTGGGAATTTGTGAGATTGGTTCTGCTTTGGGACCAGTGGTGGAGGTGGACATTGAGCACATCCATTCCAGGGAGGAGATCAAGGTGAAAGTTGGAGTGAGAGACATACACAAGATACCAGCAGGGACTGAGATAACAACCAAGGATTTGCACTTATATGATATTTTCTTTGAATTTGATTCAGTAGCTGAACAGGGATGGTACAAGTTTGAGGAGGGGAATAAAAGGAAAATGTTTGAATATTTGGAGCTGGAACACTTTGAGGCACACAGAGAGAGAGTGATATGCAGAAGAAAAGCAAGCAAACAGACACTGGGAAACAGAATGTGAGTTTGGGAAGCTTGGGGTTAAAACAATATGAACAGATGGTTCTGAAGTTTGGAGACAGCTGTCAAAACACTGACACTGCTAAAGAAAGTGAGAAAATAGGGATTAGTGCAGAGAGGCAGGGGAGAGAAGATGATCTGTTATCTAGGTTGCAAAAGGCAGAAGAATTGTCTGCTAGATAGACTGCACAGTTGATGTTGGAAGAAAAAAAAAGGAAAGAGATGGAGATCATTAGGAAAACCCTTGAGAAAGAGGTGAAGAGACAACATGAGCTACTTCAAATTAATCTGAAAGGGAATGAAGAGGTGGAAGGGTTTCAATCTGGAGAGAAAAATACTGCTGAGGGAGAGGAAATGGAAAACCTAGATGAAGATATGCAGATTGAGGACAAACAGGAGGGGGAAGGATAGATGACAGAACAGGAGTTGATGGAACAAGCCATTGGACTAGGGTATGTTGAGCCAGTGGATTACACAGCTA